TATTATTATTATTATTATTATTACTATTATTGTTATATTATTATTATTACTATTATTGTTATATTATTATTATTATTATGGCAGTACAAACGACTGGATGCCCAGAGTAAAAAATAAAAGCTTTGGCTGGGCGGCAAACCGTAACCAGCCGCAGCATCGACTGAAATTTATGATAACAATTATACAAAAAAAAAAAATAAATAAAAACCTGGGTAAAAATGATTTGATAAGAGTGACATAAAAATTGAATAAATAAATAAATAAATAAACAAAAACCTAAAAGCTTTATGGACGTCTTAATTACGAAATGAAAATGTTCGTAAGTTGAAACCCATCGTTCATATACCTGTCCATTTAATTATGGGAACGTCTAAGGTATGGAAATAAAATTTCGATAATGTACAAGATTAAGTATTCTGTTAAAATAGGTGTCCAAAATTCCTGTAGATATCTAAGCGCTCAGCTGGAACATTCTAGCAATTTGTAATGAACTAGACAGGGTTAACGCCTTTTGCATTTGGCGCATAATTGATTCACACTTGTCCCCCTACAAGCTCTTTAATATTTTTCTCGACCTCTTTCGAACAGCCCCCAAGGACATCCTTGACGATGTTATACTGATTGACCTTGTACTTATTATTATTATTATTATTATAATTGGGAAATCCGGAAGTGAAATCCGGAAGTTTCGCTGACAAGGGATAAGGAACCAGTATAAACTGGAATCCGGAATCCACAGCTTGGACTCTAGACTCCAACACGTCTTGCGAGATCCTGAAAGGGGTGCCTTTGGATTTACTCAAATTTGATCTCATGGAATATCTATTTGTTAAACACTTTTTCAGTTTGTTCATGGTTAAAACTGGCGTAGCATTTTCTGGTGGAGGGATAAGGTCAGCGGCCTTCTGTTCTGGAGTCTTACGAAGACTGCTGCAGAAGGATGTAAAGATCGACTACCTCAGTTGTGTGTCGGGAGGTGGTTATACAGGCACGGCCTATCTGGACTGGAAATACAGGAACGGCAAAAAGGACGACAACGAGTCGCACGAGGAATTCTTTAACCACATGAGGCAAAGTGCCGGGTTCATATGCCACTATAATAAACCGCTGTTCCCGGCAATTCTAGATTTTTTAGCAATAACCTTGGTTATACTATTTGTGTCCTTTCTTGTACCGGCATTAAATTGGTTGGCATTTTCATAAATCGGTTGGCCTTTGCTGTAGATTGGCTATTTGGGGACACCCTTAGAAAGGAAACTCCTTACTGTGACGAAGATGTGCGAAAAAAATCCAAACCTAACCTTACAACAGTGCAAAGAAGAGCGCGAGTCATCTGGGACAGATCACGAGCTGCTCGCTCTGTTTTTGACGCCCCTGGGTATTGCATGTACATCTTTTATTCTCAGGGGAATTTTCTCAAAATGGAAACATCTTTTCAGTCTCTCTTCTCATTTTTCTGCTGGGTTTTTGAGTTGGTGTTTTTCCCTTGGTTCATGAAAGAATTTTTTCATCGAGCTCCGACTTGGATAAAGTTTCTTGTATTCATCCCTTTATTCTTTCTTTGGATTTCATTTCCTCCCATCCGTTCTACCACTACCATCATGAGCTTCATGTATCTGACCTCTTTTGTGATTTACTGGAGAGTTTATAACGAGAGTGTCTTTGATTGGTTTTGAGTACAAAGTAGTCACTTTCGATATTCTCCTGGGTGTGGCAGCTATACTGCATTGGATCCTTAGCTTTTTCATCGTTCAGCAACGCCTTGTTCACACTGCCGGGGGCATGATATTTAAGGTAAGCTGAAAACTGAAAGTCTTACAAACCTTGATCACTGTTTTCATTTTTGCTCTCTTTACCGGGGGTTATGAGCTGAAGATAGCGTTTCGGAGCCTCCAAATTGAAAATGTTTTAGGGGAGGATACCCCCGATCCCCTACAAGGCTCATGCCTTTGGCACTCGCGATAATGTCCCCCCGTTAGCAAATCGTTGTCTTACGTTCACCTCCTCCATAAAACGTGAAATTAAGACGTTTCACATTGTACTACGTGCAACGACGGCAACCTTTCAACCTGTGTGATGCGAGGGTTTTAACTTGTTGCTTAATAGGGAGCTTGAGCGAAGATAAAGACTTTTTGAGCGACGCACGTCAACCGCAACTTAGAGTGGACCTCCTTTGGAATTCCTGGGAAGCGGTTTTACAATTTTAAGGCAAATCGTCTACATAAGAGTAAAGACAGTTAGTAATACAAATTTGGTAGCGCAAGACATATAAAAGGGAAAAGTTAAATTCCGGTTGACGTGTAGCCTGCGTAGCATAGCAGTTTTGTCGGGAGCACTACTGAGCGGCGAAGCCGCAAAAACACACGCGAAAGGGCGCTAGAAAAAATGAAAACGGTGGTCTCTCGTTACTCCCGCCCCAATCTCCTCGCGATTTCTCTGCCCTCGCCCGCCTGACCATCCGCCTATATTACTTAGCGCACCCAACCGAAACCGCCATTTCCCAGGCTAGTTGACGTGCGTCGCTCAAAAACGTCTTTGCCTAATCTCTTTTATTTTATCAAGCATTCCTTGTCTCGCACTCGGGTCCAGCCTAGTCCTTGCAGACGTCTTTAAGGTCTTTTTGGTTTTAGATCACGTGATGCAAAAATCATAGTCCGCGATGAATTTTATGAGGTCTCGTAACGCCGCCAAAATTAGAAGCATCACTGCTGATCGAGTCACTATGAATGGACTGATTAAAACCAAAACAATGACGCCCAATGTAATATCCTTGATGTCGAAATGTGTTTTGACTGTGTATTGCTATCTAATAACTAAAATGTTGCTCTTGAAATCGCTAAGAGCCTTCTTGTCTTCATTTATAGACTGTTAGGAGACGCCGGCGATGAACTGTTTTTGTTCATGAAAATAATGCCTTAAGTATCGCCTCAGGCCTCAGTCAGATAAACCAAACTTAAGGAGCGAAGAGGGGATATTGATTAGTTAGGGTGAAAATAAACCCAGCCAGGAAAATCAGTGAGGTATTGAAATGAATAAAAGATCGACGGATGACATTCATGCGTGGAGCTGATAGATCAAGGCTGAAAGAAGAGTTTTTAAATAAAAACACCATGGACGCAAAGCTGTTTTAATGAGCATAGGCCTTCCATTGTGGTAATGATTCTGTCTGCAATTCGAAATCCGATTTTGAGGCCTTTGTTGTCGGAAGAGTCAAGTAGCAGCAAGTAAGGCCTGTTTCAAACGTCGTGCTACTGCCGTGCTAAGCTGGCTCGACTGTAGCTCGACTGCAGCACGACACGACTTGGTTTCAGACGTCGAATTTAATTCAGTCGAATAGAACGGCTGTTGCCGAAATCAAAACACACAAAAAAGAAACGGCTTTGCAAACTTTTAAATATATTCTAATGTATTTATAATTTATGAATTGAGTTCGGCACGGCGGTAGCACGACGTTTGAAACCAAGTCGAGCTACTGCCGTGTAGTAGGGCAAGGTTTGCCGTGCTACACGGCAGTAGCACGACTTGGTTTCAAACGTCGCGCTACTGCCGTGCTAAAGTCCAATTTTAATTCGATCGATTTAGTTCGGCACGGCAGTAGCATGGGCCTAATCGATGGTTAAATTAAGTTTACAAATCGATGGAAATGTTGCCTGCTGGTGTTAAAATCTTTTGTTCACGGAGGTAACGTCGAGTTCTAAAGGAGCATTATGCCGTGTTTCATATGTGACGCTTTCAATGAATAAAGTTTCGTCCCAGGTAAGCTATAATTAGAGCGAGAGCGAATTAATTTTATTATTATTATTTTTTTTTTATAAAATACATTAGGTACATTTAATTTTAACTAATATTTAACGCTACAGCAAACATCCGACGGAACATCAGAGAAGAAACTTCTCCGCTATGATATTGCATCGTTACTTTTAATAACGTTATGTTTCATCGAAAACAGTATAAACGCCGTGTTATCATATCGATGTTACAGATAAGGTAATTTTAGAATATAAAATACGAGAACAGTAACCCAAACGCAAAAAGTAAACATAACAATTTCCTAACCAAAAAAAGCCTTTTGTGGCAAGTTGATTAGTTGGCGAAAATTGGCTATTTAGTCATAGTTTAGCCAAAATTCTGATTGGAACTTCAAGAAAATCAACTTGACTAGAGTAACACCGTTTGTTGATGATTGTTTCCATGATCTGAAAGAAATTTTCATTAGAGGGCAATAGTTTTCGGCCACCTGTGTTTATTTTTCGTATCTTAAGCTTGCCACCTAATTGATTTTACTATGCATGTACGAAAAGCTGTTTATAGAAATATGAAATATTGGGAATTGGATCATCTTCAACGTTGGATAATTTTCATATCTTACCGGTCAGCTCATTGGCTGATAGCAGTTAGGTCTACTAATAAAGGAAGTTTCAGTTATAAGTATCACTAGGTTCAATTTACAGTTCGGCGGGAGTAACATGGCGCTTGGTCAAAACACGGGGAGGCAGACAATCGCAACTTTTTTGCTCCTGGCAAACGGTCAGTATTCTGCTGTGTTATATTACATACAATTTAACATAAGCTACCTATTAAATGTTTTAAAATACATTTACTGAGCTATTTCAAACGTCCATGTCCTAGATGGAAAATTAAACAATCGCGTTTGGTCATTTCGTCAGAACAGAATGAAATAAAACTGATCTTTACAAGCAGCACCTCGAGCTCTCGTTTACTAAAAACTTGAAACTTGTACATGTTTTTTTTTTTTTTTCACTCTGAAGAATGACATTCTAGATCAAGTTCACTTTCGGGCTTGAATAGTTATACGAGCCTTACTAAATCGATCACCTTTACTGCTGTTAATTTTAAGACTTAGTGTTGGATTCTTGGCCCGATTTCATTATTTCTATTTTTTAAGTTGTTTTTTTTCTTGTCAGTTTTTTTAATGGTTGCTATATCACTAGACATCCAACAAATTAAAGCAGCTTGTAAAGTGACAGCGCTTTTGGCGTGTTAATCAGCCGTATCTGTGACAATGTTAGCTCTTTGGTTATTGGGTCGGTAGATTATGAAATACGGTATGACATTTTCATCTTTCTGGATGTTGCGTTGTATCGTTATAAAAGTGCGACGGATTCTTGATTACATGATCGGACGCGTATGAAGTTTTAAAATCGATCCTTGACGCAAAAGGAAATTAAAGCAAACATCGTGGTATTGCAAAAGTACATGGGTATATAAAGTAACTGAAAACGGTGCAACACTTACTGTGAACATGGTGGAAAAGAATTGAACTTATCATTCTAAAGTGACTGCGGATTATTGCACCTGCCCGCCGACGCATATCTTTTGTATTTGATGTGTGAATTTACCAGTTTGGTAAACGGAACTTATTAACCCAATATAACACCTTCGCCCAGACTCCCTGAAAATACCTCGATAAATCCGCTCAAATTTCAGCTGAGTAAAAGAAATATGGACTGAAATTTTAAAGCTTAGTCAAGGAAGAAGCGAAATGTGAAGAGGCGAAAAGAAACTTACTCTGAACAGTTAACAGTGCTAAGACGACTCAGGCCCATTCCCTGTGCTTTGTTTTACCTGTAAAGGATAAAAGCACATTTTATTCAGATACAAAATAACCTAAATTGTTGAGTTGAATTTAGAAAATTTCCTTTTTTAACAAAGAATTTATTCCGGAATGGTTTGGCCAAAGTATGTTTGGTGTCCAAAGAATTTGTTCCTTCGTTGCCCTGATAGAGGAAACCACCATCTAGTCATTCGAATGCCTGAACTTGACTATTGAGTATGTAAAATACAGTCGTTGAATACCCCAACAATTATTTGACTTTTCCAGTCTGCAAATGACGTTTTGAAGGCAGGGAAAAACGGGAGACCGGCCTGAGAAAAACCTCTCGGCCAAATGGACAAGAAACAGCTAGCTAGAACACACTCAAGCGTCTTGTGGCATCGACACGAGACTTGAACTTTAACTGGCAACAATGAAGGAAGACGACTGTATCATCTTTGCTCACCAAATCTGTCTTTTCCCTTTTTACCCACTTCTACAGACCGTGAGTCGTTTTAACTGACCTTTGTCAGATGGACACCACCGTTTCGGGGTGTTGAGCTCGGCCCTCTTCACAACCTAATCAATCTCATTCAATAACTGCTTAGTATTTTACTGTACATAACTTTTATAGATTACCTCTTACCAA